GGCGACCCAGTTGACTGTGTGGGTGTTGACACCACAGTCCCCCAGTTTCTTAATGAGAACAGGGTGAGAGACAGTGTTGAAGGCCTTCTGAAAGTCCAGGAAGACTATGTCCACTGCTATCCCCGCATCTAAGGATTTGGTGATCTGATCATAGAAGGCCACCAGGTTGGTTTGACAGGACCTGCCACTAATGAACCCGTGTTGGTTGCCCCTAAGCATGACCTCCCCTGCTGGCCCCTCGTGGATATGTGCCAGAATAATTTTCTCAAAAATCTTGCCCAGGATCGAGGTAAGACTAACTGGCTTATAGTTTCCCGGGTCCTCCTTCTTCCCCTTGTCGAAGATGGGAATCACATTGGCCCTGTTCCTGTCCTCTGGCACCACACCAGAGCACCACAAGTGCTTGTAAAGCCATGCCAGGGGTCCTGCAATGACCTCAGCCAATTCCCTTAGTACTCTAGGGTGGAGATCATCTGGACCAGCTGACTTGAATACATCCAGTCCCTCCAGAAGTTCCCTAACTTGTTCCTCACTAACCCTTGGCCTAGGTGTGCCTCCCCTGGGGCCTGAGGGGGGCCCAGTGGGGGGGTAACTGTTCTGATCCCTGCTTAGGAAAATGGAGGCAAATAAATTGTTAAATATGTTATTTTGTGGAACAGCTTTATAGCTCATTCCTCTTTTTCATCATACCATTAATTGATTGAATGTGTGGCTAGGTGACCACTTAAGGTGTGTGTGGTGGCAAGACGTAAGCCACCATGGTCACCAGAAACCTGGAAATGCCAGGTGAACTTCAATTCTGGGACTTACTAGCACTCCCAATGGCCAGACAGCTGGGGGAAACCCTGGTGCTGCTGCCACCATGCTTTATCAGCATGTGCTGGCGCTGGCTGGCCAGGTGGGGCCCGGGAGAAATCATAAAGATGCGCTCGATGCTGACAAGGGAGGAGACCAGAAGAGGAAACCAGGGAGAGAATAAGCCAGCTTCCATAGTGACATGACCTGGTAGGGGCAAGTGGAAGGGACTGGTTGCAGTTCCTTCATGTGAAGACTTGGAGGACTCTTCAAACTCACCTGGAGAGTGATGGCAAGGGGATCCAGAGCTGCTGATGAGCCAGTGGAGAAGCGAGAAGCACTTCCCAACCTGGAGAAGAAAATAAGATATCTAACCATGAGTGGATTGGGGGAGAGAAAAGAAGTTTCTTCCCCCACCATCCTTAAGAACCTGAAAGATTGGGAGATCCATTTATTTATGGATGGTATAGGGAAACCTCAATCAGGGGAATAGGACTTTGCACAGAAATAGCCAGATTGTCTCTGGACTTAGATTAACTAAGGCTTCTGGCTTGGACATAGGGCACACTAGGTACTTGTGGGTGCATTTAACCTCCCATGTCATTCGCTAGTGTACTCTGTAATTTCTGGCCTTTCAGGTGCCGCTGTCTCCTTTTGGGTTGACAGCTTGTCATCTGGGCAGATACCTTGAAAGGTCCCCAGGGATTCTCGCCTGCCATATCTTGTTGGTATTGATTATTGTTGGAAGAATGTTTTTAAGTCCTGCCTTCCCTGGTTCCCTCCTTCGGCACTCCTGCCCAGTCTCCCATATTGGGGCTTTGCCTCCCCTACACCCCACCTTGCACCAACCAAAGATGTTGTTTCTTGGCCACAGCTGAGACAAAGTCAGCTTGCTATGGTACAGACTTTAGCCTTTATATGTTCACAGTCCAATTTGGATGGTGTACCATCTGGCTTCACACTTCACATCAGCCTGACTTGTCTCTCTGTTTGCCCCTGGTTGTCTTGCTCCCAGGTGCTCTCCCTTTTCTCCCTGTATTGACTCACAGTATCTGATGGCTTCTCCTCTCTTTCTCTCCCCAGGCTCACCGCTGTTCCACTCCACACTGGTTGCATCTGGGATCCATGGTTCTGTCCCAGGTAAGAATTCAGGCTCTGCCGAGCCAGCATTGTTTGGGCATGCCACCTCCCGGGGCTGCCAACATTCGCCTCCATTGGGCCTGCCAACTGATCCCGGCCTCTCTGGGCCTTCCAAAGGACCCACTTCTGGTCCTCCCTAACTGTAGTCCAGAGGGGTTTTTACTACCTCCTCAGAGGACCGGCCAACAAACTGGCATCGGTATGCCACCATAAAGTGTGCTCATGCTGGTGTGGGTGCATGCACCAGCTCCACCATGAACCACTGAGGCCACTTCAGCTTTTCCACTTCTGGCCTTGATGCAGCCCGTCCTCTGGTGGTCTCTCTCCCACCATGCCTCTGGTCCTTGGAGATGTCCCACCAGCTCTGTGCTTCTCTCTATTCTCATCCATAAGGTAATTTTCTATTTGTGGTGGTGTCCCTGCCACAGTGCACTAGCTGTTCTACTGACCTGATTATTACTTGCATTGGGTTGGCACTGGGATGGGGTGTAGAGGAGGCAGAACCCCAAGGAATATCATTTGACCAAAGAAATCATGATGCAGAGGAATTAGAAACTTTCCTCTTCTTCAATACATAAACATCAAGAGTGGTGGGCAAAGAGAGGGTTTGCACCATCAGCATTTGACACCTGGGGTCAAACTGTCCAGTCAAAAGGGTGAACGTGCAGAAGACCCCACCTCACAGTGCAAATGTCCAGCTAAGACAACACATGGACATTTACAGTGTGATTAACTGGTCAATTATATTGTAAGTGTAATGTGTAGATGGGGGCCTGAGATGGGCCTTGACAGGTTCAGGGGCAAGATGGACAGTTTGAGGAAGGTTACACTGTTTCTAACTGTACTGAATTGAATCTGAGAATAAACTTCCTATCCTTGAAAGTTCCAAGTATATTTACAGAGGTTACAAACACACTCTGTATGGCCCATCAGTTCAGTAGAGTCCAGTAATAGTAAACTGTTAATTAACTAGCTGAAGAAGAGTTAGAAAACAACTTTCATCCAGATGTCATTCAAGTTGAAGCCCTAAAAGATATCCTCCATATTATGGTAGAATAGAAGTGATATTGTAGCCACGATGGTCCAAAAATTAAGCAAGACGCAAGGATTTCATAGGGTGATATATGTTATTGGACCACGTGTATAATTGGGATAAAGTTAGACAAACTTTTGAATGAAAGATATTCTTCCTCTGTCCTATAATTAGAGACCTAAGGAAGAATGTATTTTAGTTGAAAGCTTGTCAGACTTTATCCTAATTGCATAGGTGGTCTCACTGTTAGAAATCCTTGCCTCTTGCCCTAAGAGATGCAAAACTGAAAAACAAACCTTTGTAACCTGCCAGTTTTTACTGTATAGAAAACTGTTCAGTTGCTAAGCAGTAATAATTAAGTCACAATGCTAATCAGTGGCTCTAGTTGATCTCAATTATAACACATATTTATGGAAATTCAATTACAAAAGTAGAAACTCTGATAATAAGCAGAGGTATACAACATATTGATAATATTGCTAAGATATTAAGCTATTTAGAACCTGCCCTTGATACAAAGTTTGATTCTCTATTGCAAACGAAAAGTTTATCATATCCAACTGTTCTAAATCATTCCACACCATGGAACAAACTTCCCCGGTCAACATGCACATAATTATATTCTTTAATTTTTGCTGTTTTGAATTCTAAATATGGTTTTCACTTATTTGATTTTCATTTATTTTTTATTCATATAAAATGGGCTTGTTCAAATACTGAGGTTCAGATGAAATCAAACTTAATGATATACAAAACTACAAAGTCACTTGCCAACATTTATTACTTTAACATGGCTGTAAAGCACAAACAAAAAAAATCCATTTTCCCTTAATGTACTCACCTCAGTTACTGATTCCTAATTAAATGTCTCCCAGTTAAAAGATGAGAACATATGGTTCATGCATTGTACTCTGAAAGTCAACAAGGTCAAGATTGTTGCGTCCACATGCTTTTAGCCCTGGAAAAATCAAACTCTAAAAACATATACTGAATTCCTTTATTCTGAATTTCTGAAGCAGGTACTTAGTTCTGTGAATTGTGAACAATTCTGAATGAAGTTAAATACTTGGACATGGATTGTACTTCACTTCTTTTAGGAGATGGCCAAGTGCTTCCTTTTCATTCTTATCCCTCCTCTAGATTTCATGGAAGTTCATTGTGGAAGTTCCTACTATACATATTAGGAAGTTCCTGCTATACACATCCAGAGACTGGTGTGGATAGAGAAAGAAAGAAAGAAAGGGAGACAGAGAGAGAAAAAGAGAGAAAGAAACACTTTTGACTTTTTATAAAGGTTTATTAAGGCGAAAAAGGGGGTAACAATCCAACAAAAAAATAAAACACTGCCCACACAGGGGCCCAGTTACAACAGACAGAGAATAGGGCTATGGCCTGCAAGGCCTGCCCTCACAGTCTGAAAAACAAAAACAGCTAGTATAACAACAGCCCACTCAGACCCTAGGAAGGGGCAAGCAGTATCACAGCCTAAGGACTAAACAGATGCCTTCGATGCTGCAGAGCACCCCCTGAATGGCCCTACATGCCTGGAAAGTGGGTACTGTCTGCTAGAGGACTGCATGCTCAAATTCCAATGTCAGGTATGTCCAGACCAAGAAGTAAGAGTTTCAGGGCATCATCAGAGCCAGCCCTAGTGAACCAGTTCCTGTGGCTCTTGAGGATGGCCATCTTAGCCTAACCAAGCAAAAAGTTGGCCAGGCAAATGACATCCCCGTGCCATGTACCCAGGTCTGCAGAGACATCCCCGTGCCATGTGCCCTGGCCGCTGGCAGCCAACCTGGACAGAAGAGGGTTAACTCTCCCACAGGAGGCGCTGCAAGGGAAAGAAAAAAAAAGGCCTCGGACTGAAGCTTGGGACTGGCTAAAACAGCCCCAATACTGGCCCGGGGGGGTGGGGGGGCAGAAATGTCCTTCAGGGGCTGAAGGCAAGCCCTAAGGCAGAAGGAGGTGGCATAGTCCAGGGTAAGGGGCTCTGGAGGAGGGAGGCAGCAGGAATGAAAGGGAGAGCACAGCCAGGGGTGGGGGAGGGACAGAGGCAAGTGAGGATGACAGAGACCGGGGGAAAGAGCCCAGAAAGTGGGGAAAGGGTTGGGAGAGGGGGGTCTCCCAGCACAGGCTGGGGAGAGGCAAGGTTTGCAGGGAGGGGCAGGGAGCGGGGGGAACATGCAGAAGGGACCTGAGCTGGAGGAGCTCAGAAGGGCTTCACCTGTCGGTGGCCATCTTAAAAGAAAGAAAGAATTTCTGTCTCTAAACTGTCTTTGAATATTTTTTACTATAAAATACAACTAGCAGTCATTCAGGCTGGCAGGAATAGATGGAACAAATCATGATTGTCCTTTTTTCCCCTCTGTTTATGGACTCAAACGACATTATTGAGCAATTGAATGCTGATTTGTCCCAAGGATACTCTTATACAGACTTTGGAATTCTATTTTCTACTCTGTTTCCGTTCAAAAATATACAAGAAGCTTTTATGCTATGCAGTTATAGCTGGTTTAAACTGGACAGAATTCAGTATGCTGACAAGACTCGATTCTGAGGTCAAGATTATGCACTCAGCTAGGCCTGCATTGTACCTTTTTAGTTTTTAATAGTAGCCACTAACCACTAATCTGGTTTAACTGACTACCTGGAGATTCGCTTGTGCTGTCTGGGAGATTTTCAGCTAGCAAAATGCTGGCAACTGCTTCTATTATCATTTCCCTCATTTCCCAAACCTCTGCCACACACAGTGTAAGGGGAATGGCTTTAAAAAAAAAGGGCGGGGGGGGGG